GCTCTGTTTCTTCAACCGCAAGAGCTCATGGCCCTTCTACCTCCCTGGCTACTGCCGGGAAGCGCGGAGCTTCTGATGACGCGTTACGTCCTGATCTTTCCGATCAAAAGCGTCCATGCCGACTGGACAATCTTGCCGAACTGGCGCCTCAAATTCCCACGAGTTTTCAGAGTCGGGATATCCCCGCCATTTCACCAGATATTGGGCATGACTCTGGTAACGACGTCGTCCCACAAGACGTTCCACGTGATAGTGGATGTCACCGTTCTTATCAAGAAGAGTCTATGGCGGGCGGTGACGACCGGGCCGACCGCCGTCTGGTGACTCGTGCTGCTCTTCGGGCCCTTGAGGACGAGGTACTTCGTGATCGGAGCTCCGCTGAGCGTCATGCTGAAGTAGCATATCGCTGTGCAAACGTTCTTGACATTTAAAGCACGTCGTGCACCGTCTGCCTCGCCTTGAAGACTACTGCGCTCTGTCGAAGCAACTCCTTGCCATGGAGCAGGCGAATGCGTCGCTGCTTGCGACAGTGGAGCGCTTGGCGCCATTAAAGATGGAAGTTGTTGCACTCCGTGCTCAGAATCAAATGCTGGTTCAACTACTGGGTGGCCGAGGGCCCGTGGGATCCGCTCCGGCGCCAATGTTTCCGCGTTCACTTGCGCGGATCCCTACGGCTTGAGCAAGCCCACGTAAAACACCGGGTGGGTGCGCATCCGTTTGGGAAGGTTTAGCGTATACGCTAGACCCCGCTTGGTGACAACCTTAAACGGTCCAACAAACCGTGGACGAAGCTTCGTCCGGAAGATAGCAGAGGCTGCTTGTGTAGGCAGGTTCTTAGAATTCAACAAAACCAGGTCCCCCGACCTTAAAGCTTTCCACTTTCCTTTTTCATCTGCATATTCTTTTTGCAGGTCTTGGCTTTCAGCCATCGCATCGCGAAAATGTCGTAGGACACTCAGTCTGGTAGACAAAAAGTCATCGACGCCTTTACGGATGGTGAGGGGGCTGACATCAGCTAGCCGTTCCGCTATTCCTCCCCCACCAAGCCCTGGGCCATGGGATGGCGGCGTCAGCGGGACGCGAGGGTGCATTAGCCCGTTCACGTAGAAGGGCGTGCAGCCAGCAGACGAATGCACTGCATTGAATAGTGCAAACTCTACGATAGGCAACATGGCACCCCAGCGCCTCGGCGTCTCGGCGCAGACGCTGCGAAGAACGTCTTCGATGACGCGATTCGCCCTTTCGGGTTGACCATCGATCTGCGGATGATCCGCTGTCGACGTATCCAACTTGCTGCCTAGCACCTTGAAGATAGTCGACCAAATTTTCCCGTGAAACGGGTATCTCTATCAGAGACAATCGACTCTGTGAGTCCGTGTTGTCGGAATACACAATCTACGAACGGCGTTGCAGTACCGACCCCGTCGATGGTGTCTGGCACCGCCGCCAAATGAGCCATCTTGCTCAACC